AGTATGAGACGCCGTGTTATGGAACTGTACCGGAAGAGAGGTGGTTACACATCCTATTGACTCAAATATTGACATTAAATTTACGAACATCCCAAAGATTATTTGTAGAGAATTTTAATGATGTTGGGTGATTAATTGTTGTAAAAAAAAAATCACAGTGAAACTTAAAATCCGTTTCTGTGTAATTTGCACTATTTCTATGAACGCAAAATTTAAATGCATAGAACCTGCATAATTGACCAAACCTAATTTATGGTTTGTTTATGGTATATGTTAGCAAAATTGCTACTTGAATGTTTTTTTGAGGAATAACTGACTTTTTTAAAATGAAAAACATTTCGATGCAATGAAAATAGGTGGTGATTAACTTTTGGCAAACTGTATATAAAAATAAGCAATGATTTACAAAAACATTAATCGATGACGTCACCATTAATAGTAAATGTGACATCATGAACCCCATATGAAATCTACTAACGTTAGAATTTATCCGAGGTGCGATAAGTCATCATATATACCAGGATAAAATTGTGTACGCCACGAGCGCGGTTCGTCTACAAAAGACTCATCAGTGACGCTCGAATCAAAAAACTTAAAAGGCAAAAAAACAAGAGGTTCTCAAGAGCCTGAATCGCTGACCTGTATTTCAGAGAAGAAGATTTTTAAATGTAAGCAAACTTGATGAACAAATTGTGTAAAATTTTCTTTAAAGGGCAATAACTCCTTAAGGGGTCAATTGACAATTATGGTCTTATAAACTTTTTTGTAGATCTTACTTTGCTGATCATTATTGCTGTTTACAGTTTATATCTATCTATAATAATATTCAAGATAACAAAAAAACAGCAAAATTTCCTTAAAACTACCAATTAAGTGGCAGCAACCCAACAATGGATTGTTCGATTCGTCTGAAAATTTCAGGGCTGATAGATCTTGACCAATTGAACAATTTTAGCCCAGTCAGATTTGCTTTAAAAGCTTTAGTTTTTAAGATATAAGCCAAAAACTGCGTTTGACCCCTATGTTATATTTTTAGCCATGGTGGCCATGTTTGTCGATGGATCAAAACTTCGGATACAATTTATAAACTAGATACCCTAAGAAACATTTAGTTAAAGTTTGAAGGTATTTGGCCCAGTAGTTTCAGAGAAGAAGATTTTTGAAATAGTTTACGACGACAGACGACGACAGACGACGACAGACAACGGACGACGACTGACGCCAAGTGATGGCATAAGCTAAAAAGAACGAAGTTGAAAAGCATGATTATTTCAAGAACTGAAGAAAAAACATGTATGCTACATCATTTGCTGAAAAACCCAAGAAACGTTCTATTTCTAGTAATCTTGATATTGTATAAATACATAAATAAAACGGTATTAACTGATTCAGGCATGTGTAAGAGGGAAAAACAAAAAAACTTAAACTATCGGAAGTGTTCCCAGATCTAGTTGTACAATAATAATCGTATATTGCAAAATCAAAAAAGGATACTTTTGAATGGACACTTGTACTTTTACAGATGCCATCAATAGTTGGTTGACCTATATGTATATGTTCCAATTGTTGTTACTGATATTCCGTCCTTTTTTCCTCTGACCTATTAAAGTTTAAGAAATACCTCTTTAGATGATGTGTATTATAATGCCAATAATTTGTGTTCACTCGAAAACACCTGCTTTGAATTTGAAATTTGTCTCTAAGCTGCATCAAATACTTACATTTGATGTGAAGAAAACTTCAGATTACCAGGTAATCAATTTCATAGGCTTAGTGTTAAGACATGTATGAACTAGGATGAAATAAACAGCAGGATGACTAACCTTTTTAAAGGACCTTTTATTGTCATTAATATGTTTGTCTTTTGTTTATAAGTTCTAAAATTTAACAAACGCCATAACAAGTTGGATGACTGTTATGTAATATATATTTCACAGATGACGATGGCGAAAGATACCAAAGTGATATTCAAACTCATTTATCGATAACAAACTGACACCGGTATGAAATGAAAAACGAACAACGACGAAAAGACAATCAACAATACACAGAACACAACATAGAAAACTAAAGACTGAGCAACACGAACCCCATCTAAAGCGGGGGTAACAATTGTCGTAACCACAAATCCGTACTCTTTCTTCGAATGTGACCTACGGAATAGACTTATCACCAGGTTTGTACTTACATAAACAACACGATGGGTGTTACATGTGGAGCAGGATCTGCACACCTTTCCGAGTACTGACTACTAATTTGCTGAAACCAAGGCTTACTTATAGTCATCCACAGGCAGTAATATCGACTCGATGCTAGTAAATGAAAATAACTCTTTTCCACAGAGATATAAATGTCATACCAGGGGTGTAGAAATACATAGAACCCTTATGAGCTATTTTAACTAAGAAGAACAGAAAAAAATAGCCAAATTCGTTAGATTTTCCATGCTCAAATTAAACTTTCATACAGGTTACGACCGCAAAATTCTCTAGAAATTACTAAAGATTTTCATACCGACATTTATTTGACGATTAACAATGGCATTATCAAAAAGAAAACAAGCAATTTAAATTCATAAATACTGGATGTAATACTATTTGGTTTGCATAGGAAGTAGACACATTTATTCAAAAATAAATTGTTAGCTCGATACGGCTTATGTTCTTCTCGTAGAATCTATGATGGTATTGTACTAAAATCCTAACAGAATGGATTGTGGTTGATTATTATGTGATGAGGATATATCAGTATAAATGAGGTTTGGAGCTGGTATGTCACTAACTGCTAGAAGTATTTTGTTAATTTATGTTGATCATTTTCGTTTTTCTTAGTTTTGTCTGTTACCTATTCTTACATCGAACTCGGACTTCTTTAAATTGAGTTTTTTGTGCGTATTCTGTGTGTTTGTTTATTCCACATTGACTAGAGGTAAAAGGGAGGGTTGAGAACTCACAAAACCGTTTTTAATCCCGCAGCAGTGTTGCGCCTTTTCCAATACAGGAACCTCTAGCCTTTGTTAGTCTTGTGTGTTTTTAAATTTTTAGTTCATTTGTATATTTTGCAGTTTAGTGTGGCGTACATTTCGCTGAACTAGTATACATTAGTGTTTGGATGCCAACTGAAGCACGCCTCCAGGTGCTGAATTTTCTCGCTTTGTTGAAGACCCATTGGTGACCTTGGGCTTTTTTTCTACTCTCTGTTCGGGTTGTTGTCTCTTTGACACATTCCCCGTTTCCATCCTATATTCCATCATAACTGAAATACTTTTACTTATAATTTGTGAGTTGAAAAAACTTAAATGCTATGTTTTATCCAATCATAAATTTGACCAACAACACAATTGAAATATTTTCAGTGACATGAATTAAATATGTTTTATCTAAAAAGGGTTAATCATGTCAACACTTGTCAAAACATTAAAATTATAAAGTTTTTTATAAAAGAAATTTTAAGATTTTGACCGAATTTAAAGTTTTTTTGTTCAACTGGTTATCCCTGTCATATTGTGTTAAACTCAAATGTGAAGGAAACAGCAACTTGATACTTTATCAAACGCTCAATATTGTGTAATTATTTCTTTAAAAGTTTGTTGTTACATTACTTATTTTATCTCTTTTTTATTTTTAAAGATTTTTAGTTTGCCGAACTTGTAGGTTTCCAGATAACCTAATTTTTACTTCAGGATAGTTATATTTAAATCAACACTTATTAAATAGACAGTCACATTTTATCAATCATCAATGACGTAATCTTCAAATATAAGCAATAGTAGATGTTGTTTACCTCGTGAACCGTCATCGAGACAACAATCCTACAATACAAACAAACAATTACAGTTGGCGAACAACATAGTTACATGATGAAATTGATGAAGTTCACTCACTTTTATAAGATGTAAGATTTACTAAATGATTTACTCCAACAAGTTATAATAAACGAATATGTCAAATATAATATAAACATTGATATAAACAAATTAATATTAAAAAAATAACAAATATTTCAGTGATAGCCATCTTTTTTACTTATATTAATACCAAGTAGTGTCAGATTATTTTGTTGTTTTTCAGATAACAATAAACTCATCATAGAAAGCAGAGGATTTTTTTTTATATGGAGACAAAGCTCACACTGGGTATTAAGACCTAGCAAGTGAGACGAAACCTTCTTTCAATATTTAAAGAAAACAAATAATACATCTTTATGTATAGATAAACGTTGTATTGGTTTCAAATAAGATAAGTTTCTTTGAGTACACAACTAGATTTTTAAGAGACTAGCTGGACAAACAGAAACAAACCAGTAAAATTAAACTACCAAATACATATTTCAACATAACCTGAAGTAGCAGAGATGCTATATTTGGGTTATTGCATCTATTGCGTTACTTTTTCAACATAAGTTCTATGAATTTATCGTTTCTGATATGAGATGGAAATCATCTCTCAAATTTATCTTGGAATTGGAAAAAAATAACAAACGTCTAGAATATGTTTAATTTGAGTTTTGTGTAACATGACAATATAACAATAACAACATTTTTTTATGAATGCCAACTATCCACCAGAGCAATGTATGCAATGTAGGTCACCATACGGCCTTCAGCAATGAGCAAAATCATTTCACTATAGCCAGCTATGAATGGCTTACAAAAAATAATCTGATTAAAAAACAAGTATCTTGTCTTAATGTCCTAAGGAGAAAGAAAAGTTCGTCAACATGTTTTTGTATACATACTGTGGATGAGGTTATGGTATGTTATGGACATGAAAATTCATATTCAAACTACTCTGATTTAGTTGCCTAAACCTTGTTGTTCTTGCAGATGACCATCTGGGAAAAACTAGACAATTGTTCATGGTTTTTTTACTGATCATGTGACATATTCTGTTGTAAAGCACAATTTATATAATAAATAGCAGGCACATTTATATTCGTTTAGCGAATTTTACATTATTCAATAAAACTGTAGTTCATCGTGCACCTGATTTAAATGTTGACATATATAAGGCAACAATGTAGTCAAGCAAGTTGTGTTTCTATAAAATGGCAGAAGAAAGAGATCCGCATGCGTAAGTTTAAATGCAATAATTCAACAATCATAACATTACTTTTTTTGTTAACAAAGTGATTAAAAGATAGTCTATTGCAATCATACGACATCAGACTCGGACTTCTCTTGAACTGAATTTTAATGTGCGTATTGTTATGCGTTTACTTTTCTACATTGGCTAGAGGTATAGGGGGAGGGTTGAGATCTCATAAACATGTTTAACCCCGCCGCATTTTTGCGCCTGTCCCAAGTCAGGAGCCTCTAGCCTTTGTTAGTCTTGTATTATTTTTAATTTTAGTTTCTTGTGTACAATTTGGAGTTTAGTATGGCGTTCATTATCACTAAAATTGTATATATATTTGTTTAGGGGCCAGCTGAAGGACACCTCCGGGTGCGGAAATTTCTCGCTGCATTGAAGACCTGTTAGTGACCTTCTGCTGTTGTCTGTTCTATGGTCGGGTTGTTGTCTCTTTGACACATTCCCCATTTCCATTCTCAATTTTATATTCTTAAAGGTGTTTTTTTTACATTTTAACTATTCCTAACTTTTCCTGTACCTTATTGTCTTTTTCTCTTTTTTAAGGGATAGTAATTTCATATCGTTTACTATAATATGCAGTTTAAAAAAGATTACTGTTACACAGAGTCAAACTAGGAACTTTTTGTTACATCTGTAAAAGATGTCATTATGACTGATTCACCAACATGAAGTGTTGTTTATAGTGCACAATACAATGTACGCAATATATCACTTATTCAAGGAAAGATGTATGTTTCTCGGTAAAATAACGTAGTATGATTGATTTATTTCAGAATAAGAGTTGCACTAATTGGAAAAACAGGATGCGGGAAAAGTGCTTTTGGAAACACTCTGGTTGGTTATAATTGTTTTGTGTTGCTTCCTTCAGGAGAATCAGTGACAACAGAAACTAATGAAGGTACTGGCAAGCTTCCATCTGGAAAGACGATAAGAGTTGTTGATACGCCTGGAATATTAAATACGAAGCAGAAGGCAGTCATAACAGAAGTTACTAAAAGTATTGGATTTCTATCGCCAGGACCTCATGCGTTTATAATTGTTCTTTCGCCAAACATAGTAACAGATGAAGAAAAAGAAGCAATAAAAGATCTTAGAAATTTATTTGGAAACACTAATTTTCTAGATCACACAATGATTGTAATGGTCAGAAAAAATGAGATAAGAGACGTAAAGGGAAATCGAATGGATATTCATGAATTCATCGACAAAATGGCTGTAGAAGAGGTTCAACAACTATATGAAAGATGTGGTAAACGTATTGTAGCTTTAGAAAACTTAGCATCACCACACGAACAGCAAACATATGCACAGGAAGTCGCTGATGAAATATCAACTATGGATGGTTATTTTCCCATGAATACTTCTTATTACTAGAAGAAAACAAAATTCGAATAAATCAAATAGATAAATTAAAAAACGCTTTGGAGAAGAAGATCAAAGAACTGAATCAGGATTTATGCTCCATTTTGTAATGAAATAGATAAATTTATTAGAGTCCAATATCAAATTTAAAAGTGTAAATGATATTAATTTTAATAAAAATGGTTATTTTTGTCAAGTTTACTTATATATCAAACTTAATTTATTTACTAATATTACTGATTACTAACAGTGCAATAAGTTTTTTGATTTTTAAATGCTTCCTTAATTTCATAAATAGACTGTGGTTTAGCTTACTCGATGAAATTCGTGAAATAACAGCACAATGAATTTATAATGAAATGAAATAACCTCTGAAATGATGTTTTGTTCTCCCTGAATGCACTCGTCTAGTCTCCCGTCTTGAACACTACGACCCTCTATATTAACAGCAAATTAATGAGATTCAACGACTTTCATGTTACTTCATTAAAATCCTAAAACATTGTTAAATAAGGAAACTTTCTAGGATTAAGACTGTCAATTTGTTAAATATATCATGAAATCTGGTCGCCTTCCAAAGTAAAATAACAAAAATACCGAACTCCAAGGAAAATTTAAAACGGAAAGTCCCTTATTAAATGGCAAAATCAAAGGCTCAAACACATCAAAGGAATGGAAAACAACTGTCCTATTCCTGTCTTGGTACAGGCATTTTCTTTTGTAGAAAATGGTGGACTAAACCTGTTTTTTTAACTAGCTAAACCTCTCACTTGTTTGACAGTCGCATAAATTCCATTATATTGTGTTAGCAAAACATACTTTATAGGTAAAAATGTAAAAAAATTGAGTATAGCAGTCAACAATGTGTTATAATCTTATTCACTATAAAAGCAAACAACTATGTCAACAAAGAAAAACAAAATGGCATATAAACGCTCTATAGACAAAGCACATAAGCAAAAATGAAAGACAAGAATACAAAAATGGCCATAGCACAATAACAGGATGTATGAATACCAAGCCGAGTTAAAAGGATATTACCCAAATGAACTACACAGTAAAGGTTAAAAGTATAAAAAGACAAATAAAAAGAATACTTTAACACGTAATTAGGATGATACACAACGTCAGTACCTAGAATCTATACGTCAAGACCATCATGTATTATTTGTATTATTTGTGAAGTTGATACGAAATATTCACCAACAAGGTCTTTGTAACTTCCGATAAACTTTTTTAGAAAAAGGACGAAACGTTCTTTGACATACCCCTGGTTCATAAACTTTCTGTTCACACACTGGTGACGTTTTATAAAGTCTGAGTAGCAGCTGCAAGATCTTGGATACCGAATGAGTTGGGAAATGTATATCCCATACGCAGGTGAAGTTGGTTTATTGCTGCTAAGGTGGGACAAATTTATTATTTCAATGTTAAAATCGTTTCATTTGTCAAAGCTTGACCGCTTGTGTCAAATTCGAGGTATAAGTCTCAAAATAAGGCAGATGAAGCTGTGTCTGTTGTTTCATTTATTTGAAGTTGTGGAAGGTATATTAATGGAACCCAATCAGAAAAGTTTTGATTGTTGATGGAAAGAACATATCTTAAACATCCCCCCTTTTTTTTACTATCAACAAAATATGCCGTATGGTATCCCAAAGCAATAAATTTATATTTAGATCAAAATTCGTAATAAAACAGCACACTGGATTTGGTATGAAAAGTTATTATGTCTTAATACTACCATGTTTATATTGAAAAGCATAATGGATTATTTTTTTAGACGATTTTTCAATTTCACCTAGGAAATGGTCGTATAAATGGTTGAAAAATCAAAGGATTTGATAGAATTGATTTCAGAAAAAGATCGAGATTCGAATTTATCCAGAAGCTCTTTAGAGTTTTTTAGAATCCACATATGGTTCATACCACTACACGAGTATACAGTTTCACAGTATTTATGAAGACCTTATTTCACTGCGGACAGAATTTTTGTCATTCTAATGGACAATTTCTTTGTAGAACATGTAAATGAGCCCACAATGTACCGTTGTTTGTACGGAATTTTGTGAAGCTTAGGTATCCAATACAAACAAGGTAAGACCCCAGCTAACACAAAATATTTTCGTGATATTATTGACTATTGGTTATATATATGTTTATCAGAAATATTTTCGAAAAAATATTTTAAAGACATTTTGTTTACATCAGAAATTAGGTGTGAATGATATTTTACCAATAACATTTCATCCCAATGTTTGATTGCCAATATAAAAACATTTTTTGTAAATTTATTTTTATAATAAAGAAAAATATTTTTAGTGAAGTTTTTTAAACGTTTAATAGACACTTTTATAAATGAGAACAGTTATATGTCGATGAGATATTTTTTTACAATATTCAAACAATATCTGATGTACATTTTTATATTATAATTATAATATATATTTGTAAGATGTGTAAAAGAAATGTTTATAAAACATTTTTGATTAATATCTGCGTAAAGCATAGGTTTGATGTATAATAAAATATCTTTTTGATGTAACATCTAAATAATTTTTTTGTCCTAATTAAAAATATAAGCTGGTAATATCTAATGAATATTTTAATAACGTCATAACAATATATTTTTCGATTTATTTAGAAAATATTAGTTGAAGGCTATTTTATAGACATTTTAACATAATATGTCTTATCGATATTTGTAAGATGTATGACAGAAATATATATCAAATGTTTGTAGTAATATTTGAGTGAAACAAGTGTTTGATATGAAAAAGAAATATTTCTTAGATATCACATTAACATGAATATCTCCTCATTTTTATAGTTATATGAGATAACCTCCTTGATAATTTTAACCTTTGATGAACATTTCAATCATGTATTATTACAACTTTTTTCGTTCAACTTTAATTTATGAAACATAATAAGCAATTATAAACAGAGTGATATTTGATACATCCATTCTGTTAACCAAACACATTCTGATAAGGTTGGACACATTTCAAAGCTAGTTGCTATGGTAATTAAGTTTATAGAAAATTTATATGTAATGGGATGGTCACTTTTGAGGTTATTTCCTGTCGTCTATTTTTAACTTCCGAAAGCAGTGATAACAAAGAAAATCAAAAGAGAAAATCAGAGTTCAAATAGAAAGAAACAAAGAGAAAGAAACATGTAAGTTGTAATTTGAAAAATTCGTAATTGATATACCATGTATACGGACTCGACTGAATCTTGTTTTTTGTCCTCTGCAAAACTTTAGCAAAATAAAATCTGTATTTGAATAGTGTGTACATGTTTTAGGAGTTAATATCACAAAAAGCTGAAGACGCTACTTCTTTAAATTATATGTATGCCGTTTTATAATTCAACATTACGAAATCATGAAAAAGTGAACTTCATCAACAGTTATATATAAAACAAAATGAAACGGCATGTATATGTGAAAAAAAGGCGGAAAAACTTTAGGATATTTCTAAACGGAAAAGTCTATACAAATTTGAAGACAGATTCGTGTATGAACTACTTGAAGTAGATTTTCTTTTTAATATTCAATTTTACATTCTCATATAAATTTATAGGTCAGGTATTTGAGTACTACAGAAGACAAATTAAATCAGAGTGCAAAATGAATAGTAGTAATCATTGAAAATATTCTGGCTACAAAATGCATAGAAATGGAGAAGGGACAAAATGCATTCTACCATTTGATAGCCCAGAATGAATTACTTTAAGTTAGTAACATAATAGCCATCCTTTATGCTACATCGGATTTGAAATTCGCAGATATATATGCATAAAATGTTTAATATGTTAAGTGTCACTTTGATTTAGATTTGACTTTGTATTTTTTCACTTGAATTATTTATTTAGTTAGAACGTTTTTTGACATAGTTCTGTTTCCTGAATCCATATCATAATCAAAATAACGGCATACCTGTAATCTATAAATTATTATAATAGAATTTTTGTCACAATGTTTGAAAAAAAATCAGTTTGACTTAATATCGGCTTTAAAGTATATGTATTTCTTTTCTTCTTCAGAAAGCAAACAAGAGGAGGAGGCTCGCAGTAGAAGATACAGATTCTGACTAATTAATAAAATGTTAAAATGCTATTCAGGAAAATTCAATATTCATTGACAGTCATAATTAAGTCCTGTCATATGAATAAGCTATTCTATCAATGATTTTGTGTTGGCAGTATACACATGTCATGCTTTAACTGCTCTTAATTGTTTGAAGGAGTCTGAAAAATATCAAACGAAAATTCAAATATCTACAAGTCGGAGAAAAACAATCGCATTGCAAAACAAAATAAAAAAAATAAACAGTAAAAAGAAAAGTAAAATAGCAAAAATACTGAACTCCAACGAAAATTCAAAACGGAAAGTCTTTTATCAAATGGCAAAATCAAAAGCTCAAACTCATCAAACCGATGAAAAACAACTGTCATATTCCTGACTTGGTAAAGGCTTTTCCTTATGTAGAAAATGGTGAATTAAACCTGGTCTCATAGCTAGCGTAACCTCTCACTTCTATGACAGTCCCATAGAATTCCATTATATTGACAACAATGTGTGAGCAAAACAAACAGACATAATATGTAAAATCGTCAAAAATTTGTGTACAGCAGTCAACATTGTGTTAACATCTCAATCAATATATAAAAACAAATAACTATTTCATCAAAGAAAAAATAAAATGGTATATAGACACTTTAAACAAAGTATATAAGAAAGAATGAAAGACAATGATAAAAAATGACCATAGCACAATAACACAATGGCGGGATGTATAAACACCAAGGACGGTTGATTTATAAAATAGCAAAATACTTAACTTAACTTGAATTTCAATTTCAAAAACACTACATGACAAAATTTGTGCATTTTCCGTTAAGTTTAACTGTTGTCTTTCTTTCTTTATGCATAGTTAGAGATGATGAAAATTGTTGACCTTTTCGCTCTATCATGTCTCTAGTGTCGTCAATGGTTGAATTTTGCCTCAGTATCGCATTGTGCCGGAAAATAAATGATTTAACACTTACCTAAGTCATAAATTCAGATATTTTTACGTCTTATTCCGTTTTAACTGACAAATTCGAGACAGAATTGACAATTTTATG